GCGACCTAAGTTCCATGCTGTGGCACACGGACCTGCAGTCTAGAAATCATTGCCCATAAGAGGTGAGATGGCTCCTGCTCTGCCAAGTTAACTACAAAAATCAAAACATTGAAAAATAAACCCTGGGCTAGCTGTCGACTTTCTGACTCATTTTCAAAGCACTCTGTTGTTTTTTCATGTTTTATGCATGCCTAGACAGTTTTGAAAAATGCTAAACCTCTCTTGGAAGTGACAGTTTTTAAATCCAAATACAAAGTGCCACCTAGCGGTTATATATTTACAAAATGTGTCTATAAACAAAATTTTCCAGCACAAGCCCGGTGTTTTATGTTTTCATAGACAAAGAAGCACACGTAGGTGAGAGAAGTTGTTGCTCAAAGACTGGATCTCAAAAAGCAGGATGATGAATGGGGGGGCAGCACTTATGTAAGCTGAAGAAAATGGGAAACAAAATGTAGTTTATAGTCTGTTATGTTTCCTTTAATTATGAACTATCTGCAAATGCATGACAAGCATTAAAGACCAAACATTCAAATAAAGTAAGTGATCTCATTGAAACTAGCTAACAATAACATGTGCAGTGTCCTCTGGAGGAACAGGAGAAGAGACTTTTGGGCAAGTCACTGAGCAAAGGCTTTCAGGGAAGTTTGGTTGTTTCCTTGGATATTCTGTGAATGACACATCACAGAAATAAGCAGTGCAAGTGAAGAGACTGAAAAGGAATTGTTCTATGCAGGCTGCAGGAGTGTTCTTCTAGACACCACAGAATCAGGGACGAAGAACCTTTCTTCTTTTTGCCCTTGCTAGTTTTTTTGACAGGTGTTAGTGGCTTAAAGCCAGAGGTCAACCCATCCCCACACAGACACTCGCTCACTCCCACCAGCAGGACTGGGGAGAGAATTGGGAAGGTAAAAGCTGGAAAACTCTTGCATTGAGAAAATGACAATTAACTAGGGAAAGCAAAAACCAACTGTTCAGCACAAATCCAAAACACAGCCCTGTGTTAGCAGCTGTGAAGAAAATTATCTCAGCAGAATCAACCCAGTAGCTAAATGAAAAGGTAAAGAATATGATAGTAGACATGCAGAAAAAGTTGAGAAGCTATCACAAATCTAAGCTGGACTGACTTTTTATGTGAGAATATCAAAGAGAAAGAAAAAAACACTCAATGCTTGAGAATTTATTGAAGCACAGTGCAAACATAGAGACTAAATCCAATAATGAGCACAAAATAAAAAATATGTACAATAAAGTACATCTGGGTACTTAGAATACTTAAAAATAGTATAAATAAAATTATAGACATTCTATGAAATAAACATTGGAGCAATTAAAGTTTTACCTTAAAAGTGAGCTACAGAAATAAATAGAAAGCTAGCTATAGAAAGTATCATTTTACTGATAAAATTGTTACCAGAACTAACACATAAGACCTGATTTAAACCTAAAAGTATGAATATTTTTTTATCTGACTTGATCAATATCCTTCAGAGACAGTAGGAAGCAGGCCTATATATTCGAGAGATGGGTAAAATTTCCAGAAATTGAGACTTTAGATAATGATTTTATGAGTGATACACTAATGGATAACAGTCCAGGCATCCTAACACTGAATTAATTAATGGCTGGACAGAAAGTTGAGAGGAGAATACTAAGTTTTATCAAGTTAGATATTCTATGTAGAGAAACAGGAACATTTAGCACAGCATTTCACACTTTCACTTACCAACAATTTGGAATTTAAAGCAGCATAGACTGCTTTGTGGTCACTGAAAAGAAACAGGCAATCTTTGGGAGCAATTAACCTGGCCTAATTTCAATTGTTTTAAGATGAAGTCAAGTTAATTGTATCCCACCCCTGCATAAGGGTATGTTTTCCTAAGAGAAAAAGAAGATAAATGAATGCAGTATTGTTAAAAATCTGTAGTAATTGGAAGAATGGGGCAATGAGGAAAGGTGTGATTTGAAAGTCCAGAAGATGCATTGCTGTTTAGTTGTAATTCTAGCAGTAATTACACCAGTAATTAATACAATTTCAGCATTCAGACTAGATTCAGATGCCCACTGTAGTCATTCAGTGACTATAAATGCCTCCAGAACATTTCAGCACTTTTCTCAGATGTCCTGTACCATTACCAATAAGCCTGTGGATAATCATAAATTGAGGCTTAATATTCTTGGAGTTCTGGTGACTCATGATTTGTGATGTACTTGAATGTAGTCTACATGATGGAAATACATCTTTGGTGTTACTTCATCCATTTGATTTGAGGAATCTGAAGCACTTCCATTCTCTCCTGGGCCACAGATGCTTGTAAAGTCCTAAAATACTGAGGAAAAATAAAGGAAAAAACCATATTCCAGAAACCATGAGTGACTTGTGATGTTCTGAACATCAAAAACGTGTGTACTGAGTTCCTTCCAGCAAGCTTTGAGATTTGATACAAATTGTGTTGATTAATTTTGGTAGGAATAGGACTTGAACTTCAATTTTTCTATATAGTATTTCATGCAATTGAGGCTTGAATAAGATTTTCAAGTGTTTTCTGTGGAAAACACAGCAATGGAGCTCTGAAGTCCATGCTGTTCTGCTGCCTGTTTGGCAAAACCTTGGCCCAGTCAATGTACAGTAGCATAGAAAAAATTTACAAAGTCCTCTGAGCTGTTTGCAGATTGCTGTAACAAACCCACCGTTTTACAGAGTGGATTAAACAAAAGGGAAAATTTGAGAAAGTCATCAGCTTCCATGGGTGTGCATGAAGAGCTTCATGACTCATCTCAGCTCTCACTGTTAGTGGAAATGGGGTTGAAATAAAAACGTCTGAGGTCTTACAAGATGATAATTATTCTTGTGTACTCCAGGGCTTGTTTATGCTGGCTCAGGGAGTCCATCAATCAAAGCCAAAAGAGTTTCATTTTGTCACTGTAGTTCTGAGTGCTGGCAGATGAAGAAAATAGTTTCTTTGTCTTTCTGATTACTTGTATGTCGTGTTATTGATGTTGGTTTTGGCTTAAAATCAACTGGGGAGGAAGCATGGCCTGAATTGGTTCAGGTAAAATTCTTTTACGTTGAGTAAGCTCTGGTGCTGCATCACAGAGATTTGGACTTGATTTTGACCCAGAACTGCAGCTCAGGAAGGACCTCAGCATGTTGAAATTCCATTTCAAAGGTTTTGAAGGTGACCTGCTCAGTGTAAACCTCTGAAATTGTGTACAGATGGCCAAGCCACCATCAGAGATCTCTCAGGGATACTGTTGGTAATGCCAAGAGAGGCCAATGCAGCACACAGGGTAGTGGAGGATAAGTCATTACGTTATCTACTCACAGAGATAAACTTTATGAAGTGTTCCCTTTAGTAATCCCTTGTTTTTGGCATAATCTTTCTGAATATAGAACAGATGCAGCATTTAGAACCGTACAATCCCAAGAGGAGTGAAGAAAGACCCAATCCCCATAAGCAAGTGAATCCTCTGGAGAATTGCACTTCCTTGGGAAACTCTATAAAGAGGACTCTGTGGAATTGGTGATCAAATGCAGAATTTCCCCCATAATCCTCCTCTCATCTTCATTTATCATCTCCAGACCTTGTTCTTGTGCCACTCAGAGGCTCCCTCACAGCTATCACACTTGGGTGGATGTTTCCAAAGGAAAGCAAGGCCCATGGGAACACTGTGCCTCTGGCTTTCCTTCGTGCTGCAACTAGGACATAACCCTGGGACAAATCCAGCTGCTGGTCCTGTTACACATTCTTTGGTTCCCTAGTTTACGTGTGCTTTGAAAGTAACTTAAACTTTGAAAGCAGGATGCTGCATATTTTAAGTCAACACAAGCTGTCCAAGTTTAATTGCACTAAAAAGTTTTTATACAAATATAGAACTTCTAAATATTCCTTTTCAAGTTTCATTTAACTCATGTGGCTTGATTTTGGGCATGATCTCACTAGCACAGAATAAATTAATAATGAATTGCTAATACTATAAATATTCTGAAGAATAATATGGCTGTGAGCAGTTCCCAATCCAAGTTTTATGTTCTCTACTGAAAGGAACAAACTGTCCCTTATACTGCTAATACTCTTATGGAGATAACACCAGTGTCTGTCTTTAACATTAATTACAAACTAAAATTTTTAATTGCCTTATCTGAAGACATAAAAGCCCAGAGTTTTGCACGATTTCTTTTTTTTAAATAACTTGAACTGAGATAATATGAGTAACATTTCCTTACTTCTTTGTCCTTGCAAGGTTTGTGTTGACAAACTTCCATAGCTGTTTGCTTAGCTTAGAAGATATGAATTACAAACAGACACTTTCAACAGGACGTGATTGAGCCAAATGCCTATAGCAGCTATAGGAAGATTTTCACTCATTCACAAGATACAGCCTTTGAGCCACACATGAACATGGGCAAAGCTGTAGCAAGTTACTTTCATGTTGTAAAAAGCATTTACTGCCACTATAAAATATATCTAGGAAGGCCCTCTGTCCTTCCTGAAACCAATACATAGAAGCATTATTTGTTCAAATGTCTTTTTTTCAGTTTGAGAGATTATTCTGTAAATCCATGCCTATTGTTCCAAACACTCTCCAATGATAATGCATTCCTATCATATGTGGTGCTGAGATCAATGACCTACTCGCATATTTATTTGTAATATTCAATCTGCTTGATAGAAAACTCCATTCTAACTGTAATTAGGGAATTCTCATATCAATGCTCAGGAGTTACTTTTTAATCTTTCTTACTTTTTTCTTAGCATCCTCACATCACAATGACATTGTTTTAATGAGACATTTTGCAAATAATGTATTAACTGACCTCAAAATTGGCTGGTTAATCAGCAGACTATTATGATTCCTTTAAAGTTTTCATGGAAAATATAATAATTTAAGCTTTCTTGAAGGAGTCTAATGTTTTTTGAACCGCTTGTCCAAAGCTTTCACCAGGTCTTAATAAGGTAAACCCAGCTTTCAAGGTTTTATTGCTGGTTTTGTTTCAGGATGTGTTGGAGTTTGGGATAACATCACCTGCTGGCGTCCTGCAAAGATTGGAGAGACTGTCACTGTCCCTTGTCCAAAAGTTTTCAGCCTTTTTTCTGGAAAACCAGGTATTTTATTTTAAGGTGTATTTTTACTGGATTCTCTCTGGTATTCTGTAACATAATGTGCTAAAAATTATTTACTTGAGGGTATAATTTTCTTTGTAGATTAAAAATTATTGTCAGAGCTGCTCAGGATGCACCGTGAAAAGACCAAATTATCATCTTTGTGTTCTGTTTGGTGTTCTTTGAGTTAGATACAAGTATATTTCTGATACAGTGACACTCAACAAAGCTGCCGACATTGCTTGCTCTTTTTTGACCTATTTTGTTAATTATTAAGGCAGCTGAGCCTGACTGACATCTCCAACATCTGCCAGCAGGCCACATGTAGGTTGTTCCCTCTGTGTCTCAGGAGGGGAGCTCTGCCTTGCCATCATGAGAATAAAGAGCCCACATTAACAGATAATACCTAAAAATTACTGTTATTGCAATTTAAGGTAGTTATTATGAAACCTTTTATTCTGCTTTTTAATAGAACTTGAAAAGAGCTCATCAGTGTCTCAGACTGCTGAAACATTTCACTGGTTTAAGTCTCCCATCTTCTGCACCATCTTGTCAATACATCATATTTTGCCCTGTGGCATTTAAGTGGGGTTTTGAAAATAAATGATGCACACAGAGTATTTCACACGTATCTCAAAATGCTGCTGGAAAAATCTTACCCCACTGCTCAGGTGGGAAACCATTGTCAAGAAGAGCTGGTGAAAGATGAAAAACTTACCACAGTTATGTAATTCTTTTTTTGGGGATTGGTGTCTCCGTGGAGGGCTTTAACAATATCACTTTTAACTTCGGGGCTAATTTGGGGTTTGACTAAAATACCTTTAGAGTCAAAGCTGTTGAATAAGTCTTGTTCCAGTAAAAAATAGATAAGCAAAACAATCTACAGATGAGCAAAGGTTTTCATTCCTAGAACTGGTGAATCTTGATTAGTTTATCATGGATAGTCTAAACAATTTGTAAAGGGGAAAGTATGTGTAATCGTTGCTAAATGTTGTGAAATCTATAAAAGTTTTCAAATTACTCAAACCAAGATAATAAAGTGTTGTCATGAGACAAGGCAAACTAATAAATATCAAAAATTCAAAATCTGAATTAAATCACACTGCTTCTGTCTATTTGCCAAAAGCTAGAGCATGCACACTCTCTCTGGAGTTTATTTCACAAACTTTAGTTATATTACAACAACATTTTAATTTTACTATAAAACAACTGCAATAAATATTTAAGTCTGAAACCTTCACAGTGCATTACAACCCTATCTCACTTCACCATGGTGTCAGCAAGACTGAAATTTTTCTTCATTTTATAGTTTGCTATCATTTTCCCTGATCCAGCTTTTTTTCATAGCCACCTGTTTGCTTCCTGCTTGTGGAACTAACAGGGTTGATTTTAAATGTTCCTGTTCAATTAAGAGTGTTTTTTAGACCTTCTCTTTCTAAAATTTCAGAGAAGGAAGACAACAAACATTTTGCGTGGTTGATTCAATTAAGAGCTAACTAAACATCTTGGTACTTTCATAAGTTGATTATGCTCAGGCATATGTAATTTATTTAATTCATACACAGCACATTACAAATTAACTTAATTCTTACGGTGGAAACTTATGAAAATACCTTCAAACAAAAAATTTCACTCTTTTTATTTAGCCAGATTTGTGAAATGTATGTTTTAGCTTTCAGTGTTTAAGAGGAGTTAAAATTCTACAGGATGATCTAGACTACCTTATTTTTATGTTAATATTCCAAACCTCAAGTAGGCTTTTAAATACCATCAGTTTCTTAAAGGATTCCCAATTTAAATTGTGAATTTAAAAAATAGTTTTCTTCTCATCTTTAGAACCTTTGGGGTGCTGGCTCTAAATTTCTTCCGTGGTGCTCTGTTATAGTTTAAGCATACCACATGATTAATTCTGTATTGAATATTAGTAACTTTTGATTAAAAGAATTTTACTGCAAAAGCAATCATATCATCCTATAATGTTTTTTCCTGTATTTTACAAGATTATTAGTCTCAGAAAGTTATTCTGTAAAGTTTTTATTCAAATATATCAAGTTAAAGGTTTTAAATAAAGTGGACATCTGAAATACTTAACTACCTGAAAAGATGGTGTCGAAATAAACACTGCCTTCCATAGAACATTGCCCAACTCTCTTTAGGTTAGAAGGTATTGCAGTGTTTGAAGTAGAAAATACTTCAGTATCTTGAGTACGTTGAGTTTTTTCTTGCAAAACTGGCTTTGACGCAATTGTGGTTCTGTTAACACATTCCTCTGCTCTGCCTGGTCAGAGAATCTTGATGTACTGTTAAAGTGAAGACTCTTCACAGTGTATAAATAGGTTACATTTTCTTTTAAAAATGTCACTTCTATGCCAAATGGCAAAAGTGGTCCCGTTGTTTGAGGAGATCGTGGGTTTAGGTCAAGGCCTTTTTACTAGCTGGAAAGATTTGGTTGTTGGCTGGTGGACCACTTATTGGATATTTACAACTTTCCACTGAAGACTTTATACAAAGAAGAAATTCCAGTAAGCAATCAACAAAATAAAGATCACAAAAGCTTTCGTTTGGAGTGTACATAAACAAGTTTGGTTATTCTTGACCAACACTGACCTATGGCACATAAATTTATTTTTCTGTGGTGAAAACCTGGAAACTTTGAGTCAATTATAGACCAGTGGTAAACTCCAAACCAAGGCAGTATATTATTATAGATTTCAAGTATCATAGATACAGAAATTGCTCTAAGAAATGTGAGGTACAAATTAACATTGCAAGAGTAAGTTACAATATCAGGCTTTTCTGTTTTGCCCCCTTGAAGTTGTTCAATATTGCCTGAAAAATTAATTCATTTTAATTAGATTAAGAAGTAGTATCATGGGTTGCCCCCATGTCATCTGTGTGACTTTGTCTCTGGAAAGAGTCAACATTTTCTGTTAGCTCCAAACAGAAACTTTCTGAAATTAATAAATCTTCAAAATTCCTTTCCAGCCATACTTCCACATGTCCTGTACATCCCTTGTACTACATTGTTTCAATATTGGTTCAAAGAATGAAATTCAGCATGCACCTTTACCTCATTCTTCAGTCTATGACATAATTTGTCCTTTAAACTTCATCACCAAACTTACCAACATTTGCTGTAGCAGTAACTCATTACCTTAATGTCTAAGAGCTTTTGTAAGTCTTCAGTAGATTCCTCAGTATTGGCTTCTCAAAAGCCGTAAACAGGAGGTCAGAACAACTCTCACTGAAATTACTCTTCTTTCAAATTCCTTTACCTACAAATGGCCCATTACAGAGTGAAGTGTACGGCTCCCTTCTGAGTATTTTAAATAAAACAGCAGAACATTTAGGCTTTTGCAGATGTGTAACAGAAATAGCTGCTATACCGAAGGAAAAGTCTTGGGTTTACTTCTGTTTTACTGTAGTGCAAAGGCAACTCCAAGCAAGAGTAAAAGCCAAAGGAATATGAATGAAAAGCACATGAAAGGAAATGGTTGGGTTGAGTCCGAGGAAACAAAGGAAAAAGAGCTAGGTTGTGATCAGCTAATGACACAGTTAGATTGTTTTAGGAGTCATTGATGCGGAGAGTTTTGGATCTTTCTGATTTAAACTCTCTAATTTTGCTTTGCAGGAAACATTAGCAAAAATTGTACAAGTAATGGGTGGTCGGATATATTTCCTGACATCTTAAGCACTTGTGGATATAATGACTACGAAGACGATTATAAGGTAGGAAAAATACTTTTTCTGTTAATTTAGATGATGGTGTTGAATACAGCTATCAGCTACATTCTGCTTCTAAATAAATCTCATTTTACTCAGACTGAATAAAAATGAGATTTAATGAAAATCTGTAGTAACTTTTCATAGCATTGGTTGCAATACGCTTGGATTGCAGTTGTCCAATGAGATAAAATCAGGAATGTAGGACTCAGTAACTGTTTGAAACTCAAGGCTATAAACAGTTGGTAATTGCAGTGAAGCATCTGTACATCTCATATTGCAGTGCTACTCAGCTGGTGCACCATATGTTTTGCATTGTGTTATTTCTAGAAGTTTGTTAGTTCAAAAGAATTTTTTTAAAAGTTATCTCAAAACCTAATACTAATAATCTGTTATAATCTGTTAATCTTACGTGCACTGGTTTGTTGATGCTATGTGTTAAAGTTATAAGTAAAATAGAATTGATTTTTATCATTGGAATTATTGGCAGATTTATATTGGACTTGAAATTGTGCTAATAATTGTAAGTTATCCATAAAGCTATCAAGGTCTCCTCAATGCACTATGCATGGGAAACTGAATATGTTCACTTTGCAGATATTATCTTTTTGTTGAGTGAAGGGTTTTTACCATCATGTTTTATGTATTTTCTGTCTGCTTTCCTGCTGAGGCTAACAGATCAAGAGTTTGTTTACAAGGATGAGCTCATAGTGTCAGTAAAACTCTTGGTACCCAAAATGGATTAAGCCCTCTCATGAGGGCCAGTTGTTTTTTCCCCTGCGTTTTAGTATGTGTGGAATAGCTGTAGCAGATCAGTTCTGTCTGGCTTGCAGAGATCCAGCTAAGTATTCCAGCTAAGCCAGGAAGGTTTTGCCATTTTCTTTCTGTATTTAAAAGCCCAACCACTAGTGTAGTTGAAAATAGATAATAGAGAAAATTGAGAGAATATATTGTTTTCCCAACTTTTCTGAAGGCAAATTCTAAAACATCTGTGTCATCTGACAGCTCAGGAACACACATGCATTACTGCTAAAACAGCCACTTTAAACATTGTCACTCAACCCAGGAATTGCCATGTGGTGTGAAAATGGGTCAAAACATAAAAATTCAAATTAACAAAATATAATATTTCAAGTAGTGAGAACAGTTAGAAGATGAACTAGAATAATGGAAAAGCAGTTCTTGTTTGACATATTCATTAGTAAGTTGAAGGAGGTGAATTAAATGCAAATTGAGTATACTTGCAGGAATTAACCTAGACAACTTGAAATAGGATATAGCAGCAACATTTGCAAAAGCCTTGAAAAAAAGCAAATAATAAAAATGTGAGGATGAAAATCAGGAGAGGGATATGGAAAGCAGGTACTGGAAAATTACTGGCAAACATACAGTCAATATAATCTCATACATACAATATAAATCATAGAGAAAATAGAAAAATGCAAGTATCATGCAGTAGTGAGATTTCAGGAGGCATTTGAGGTTCTGCACCATCTACCTGTTTTCACAGAAGATGTTTTCTTGATTTCAGATCTTGGTGCTCAATGGTAACCACTCAAACCAAAACCTTTACTCATCATAAATCAGTATAGTTTGTTGGGGTTTTTTATAAATCTAATATTTTTACTCTGAAAGCTAAAAATAGAGTCCTAATATTTGGATGCTGACTGTTCTGGGCATAAAAATGTCACACAACAACATGCTCTGAAGCATGGGGCATGCAGTATATGAGATTGTCCTCAAGGTTACATTAACTAATATTTTAGGGAAGGTGGCAAAATAGTTTTCCTAGAGTGAGTCCTAAGTGTTATTTTTTATATTTTGAAGACAATGTTGGAGGAGTAGAAACTGTCTTTGGTATAAGTTTGGTGCCTGCATCTTCACTGCTGAATGAATTTCTACTATAGATCCAACTAACTATTTATTCCTTTGGGATTTTTTTCTGTCTTTTAAGACACATTCTTTTATCTTTAATCGAAAGGGGGCTTATTTCTGTACATATTTTACATATTGTATGTATATATGCACACACAGAGGCATATATCTCTCTGCAGATATACATTTATTTGGGGCAGCTTTGAATATTCTAAAGAAGGTTTAAATTATAAAGATCCGTGAGCAAATACCGAGTAATTTGTTAACAGGTACCAAGTTGCTATGCTTAAAAATGCACTGAAATGAGGAAGCTTATTAAAAAATAGCATAAACATGTCACCTCTTATTTCCTTACTGAAAGATCTTGCATGCTTCCACAGTTTCTATTTAATGTTCAAATTAAAAATGTTCCATTTTTATTTCATTTTAATGATATATTAGCAGGTTCTATAAAAAGAAAATATTTGCTTAACATTTTGAAATTAACTGTAAGCGCCTGATACAAAACCCTTGGTTTATTCTGTGTTAGATCTTAATGCTCTTTGCTACTCTTGCCATTATTTTGGGGGGATAAGTTTGATAAATATGACTGTCCTGGTTTTTCAGCTGGGATAGAGTTAATTTTCTTCCTAGTAGCTGGTACAGGGCTGTGTTTTGATTTTGGTGTGAGAATAATGTTGATTATTTGGTATAATTTGATTATACTGGTGTTTTGCTGTTGCTAAGTAGTGCTTATCCGAAGTCAAGGACTTCTCAGCTTCCCAGGCTCTGCCAGAGAGCAGGTGCACAAGGAGCTGGGAGGGAACATGGCCAGCACAGCTGACCCCACCTGGCCAGAGGGACATTCCCCACCACAGAATGTCATCTCCAGTATATAAACCAGGAGGAGTTGGCTGGGAGCTGTCAGCTGCTGCTCAGGGATGGGCTGGGCATCAGTCAGAGGCTGCTGAGCAATGGAGTTGGGCATCACTTGTCTTCCTACCCCAACCCAGGTTTTCCTTTCTTCCCAGTTGTCCTCCCCATGCCATGGCAGGAGGAGGGAGGGAGTGGTTGTGTGATGTTTTGTTGCCGCTGGGGTTAAAGCACAACAATGATAATGTCTGAACAAAATATTTGTATGTTGTTATGGCATTAAAGTGTAGACCTAAACCTTTATTATATGCTTCCAGACCTTTTTCTGTAAGCAAACTAGTTACTGCTAACCTTGAAGATCAAGTTTTATGTTCATCTTAGGCATTCAGATAAGTATCTTTTTTTCCCCATTTTCTATTTCTGTGGAGCTCATGGCAGTACAACACGCAAACAGCAAAAAAAAGCAAGCTTGATTTGACCATGCTAGAAACACACATCAAGGTGTGTTAACCAAACTCAAGCCTCACTGTAGTCTTTCCTTGATTTACTTTGACATCTTCTACCTAGACTGAACAAACTGGAGACATGTCCTTGCTGTTGTCAGAAGATATTAAACTCTGTGTCAGCATTATTAATATAGAGCAAGATGTCTGGTGAATGTAAAGCACTGAAATGTGTCCACTTTATTTAAAATAATGACTGAATCAGTTAATACAGCTTTGTCTGATCTTAGACCCAGGCTTTATTAGATCACACAACAGCACCACTATATGCAAGTTTCAGGCTGTGTGATTTGACTGTGTAGCGTCATACTAAAAGAAATTCATGGACAGAAAGATCCTCAGGGCTATTAAGTGTGCTGATACTGGTGCAGCTTGTGCCTGTAGTAGAAGCATTGTCTGCTGCAGTGGACTGAAGGTAAGGGCGCTGTGACCTTCCTGACGAAGCATCCTAAGAAGGGCTCAGGGGCACAGGCACGTCCTCCTCTCAGCCCGGGGAGTGATGCTCTGCTTCAGCTGCTTCTGGGTGACGCAGAGAAAGAGACAGGAGCCTGGTCTGGTGTTGCACAGAGTAACCACTTTTACTAAGAGCAGGGTGCTCCAGCAAAGGATGCCAAGGCCAAAAATACCAAGTGCCTGGGAAAGCAGGGCTTTATATGGGAAATAGAGGGGCGGGACAAAACTGGAAAACCAATAGGGTACAGGTGTGGGGGTGGAGCAAAGGGGAAGGGCCAATGGGGTGGGAGAAATCAACATATGACCGCAAAGGCCGCTGGGGCTGGGTGACCTTTCTCCTCAAGCTCTGAGGGAAGGCTGTGTGGGTCAGGGGCTGGCTGTCCAGGGGAGCACAACAAGCTTTTCCTGGGCCTGTTCTCTGGCCCCCACAATCATCCATGGAAGAAGCATTCCTCATTTGCCCAGTTCCTGGAGTGCTCTCACCACCCTGGATGAGCAGCAGAAACACCTCTCCCGGCGAGGGGAGCTGAGGCCGTGGCAGGAGCAGGGCCTTGGCTGTGGCTGCCTTGAGAAAACAGATGCATTGCCACTGTCTGTGGAGCGGATCGTTGCTCTGGAATAATGCACTGTTTCCAGTGAGTCTAGATTGAATCTTTGCCTCTCACCAAAATCTGACACAAGGCAGACATCTATCAATGTGTTTCCTTGTGTCTGTAAGTCATGCTAAATTTATTTATGTTAGGCTGCATTTTTTATTAATATTTTTCCATCAGGAGACCAGTATTCCTTAAAATAAGTGCAAAAATTTTCCATTGACTTCAAGTGAGGACTAGGACTGGATATTAGCTGATATTCTCTCTTGTAGAGCAAAGAGGGAATTTGCTTTAATTGCAGAATGTTAATAAGCTGCTAAATTCAAGCCCATGAATGTTCACATTCACAGATACATCTGCTGATTCATGTTTACACAGGAAAATGTGGAATTTACGTTTTCCTGTATGGTGCATTTACAAAGTTGTCATCTCTCCTACTAAGGAAACCTTGAATAACAAGACATTCTGACTGGCATAATTAAAATTAATGATGCCACTATTATTATAGGAGGTACTTATGGCACTGCTGATCGCATCTTTTTTCTGGGTGGTGTTTAAGCTCAAGGTGAATTGAAGGGAAAATGTCAGAGAAAGGATATTATAAATTACTTGTATAAAGATTATTAAATCCCATGAGGAATGCCAATTTTATTGCATGTCTTTTAGTAAATTCTGTTCTCTACATACATAATTTTAAAATGTGTAGAAGTGTCCTATAAGACAAAATTAAATTTTCCACAACATGTAATCCGCCTCTTTATCTCAGTTTTTATTTATTCTTGTATAAGTACAAAATTTTAAAAATGGCTACTGCCTTGTTGAAGTTAATTTCACAGAAGGAAAGAACTAGCGTTCCTTACTCTGTTTCTATTTGCATTTGCTCGTTTCAGTGTTTCTAAGGCACTGAACTCATTTGCTAGGCCCAGTTCTTATTTTACATTGTACAGTTTAAGATTTTCTGATATGTTCTCCGAGTATGAATATTCAAATATTATGAAATATTCAAATATTGACACATGCATCATGAAAATTTAAGTTCACAAATTTTAATACAGTTTTGATAATTATATCTGTAAAGAGGAAGCTCCTAGGTGCAGTATTACAGGATTATATTAGCCCAGGGAATAGACAAAATGAAGGGTCAGTTGGGATGATAGTGGTCATGTATTCCTTAGCAATGATAAATTATATTTCTGAATGAAAGGAATAAAAATTTGAGGGCTTTTCTTTTACATTAAGGGTGATTTCTGGTCAACGGCAAACCTCCTTTGGACAAAGAATCATGCCCTTAACTTTCTCCAGTGTTTTCTCCTTCAGCACTGAGGCACCTTCTCACCCCTAGAGGTCCTTCCAAGCCAAGGCTGAGGTTGGGATCTGCCGGGTGACTCTCAGCCTTGCCTAGGAAGTGTCTCTGCTCTTCTGGGCTATTTTGTAAATAAACAGAAGAATTCTGTCTCCTGAACTTAGTAAAAATAACACGAAACTAAATTTAAAGGAAACATTAGCAGAAACAGGTGGTTTTTCTAAGAAAACAAAACACAAATGTGCCTAAAAATAGACTTTCAAACAATGTATTGAAGTTAAGACAAAGTAGGCAAACTTGTACTAATCCAATTACATTTTATATGTAGGGGTTTATGTCCTTTAAAAACCTATTAACATTAAGTAGCCACAAAAAAAAAAAAAAAAAAAAAAAAAAAAAAAAAAAAAAAAAAAGTTTTAGGATTAGCTCTTTAGAAAACATTTACACTTCCTGTAAACATTTCCATTATTTTTTTCTGAAAATCATAAGATTTTTTTCTGTGCCTAACCACCTAATGACTTTGGTTTAGTGGTTGCAATTTTAATATTTTCCTCAGAAGTTTAAAAATAAGTAATTGGATTCCAGTTTTGGAGTCAGCATTGTTTAAATAATCATGTGAATATTTTGCAGAGGCCAGCTGTTATTACTATGTTCTGATTTTGGTAGACCTGCAGAAAAGTTCATGTCATTTCAATTTCATAATGGGATTTCAATTTCATGTGTATGACTTGAATCAGTTTTCCTTTGAAAAGAGCTATAAAATCTGAGGAGGTTATAATATTTCTTCTGTGTTAAAATATTTGAATATATAATTTCTGAAATTATATTTGGTCAATCTGTACCTTTGTTGCAGTCATTTTATTCCTGAAAATCTTGCACATTTATATTTTAAGTTTAGGGGTTGAAGCTAAGTGTTACTTGAGACATGGGTAATTACTGTTCACACAGAGCAATAAGAACTAAATAAGACATTCCATTTTATATAAAAGTCACTGGTTTTTGTGCTGTCAGATTTGGCATTGCTTGGCCTGTTCCTTTTGCACCAATAAAATACAAAGAGTTTGTTTCTAAAGGGTACTAGCTAAAATACAGATGAGTGACAAATATTTAATAGCTGTGACTAAGTCAATATTGGTCTAATGAATTTCCTGGTTTTCAATTGCCACAGCACAATGTGGAATTTAATTCTTAGTCTTTATGAAGTTTGTGTGTTTAACTGACATATAATTTGAGAACACCATTTACTAATTTTTTTTATTTTTGGGGGTCACTAGGCATTATAGAGGTCTTACAGGCAAATTAAGGCACATCTTTTATGTTCATACAGGAAATGTAAGGAGCAGTATGATTGCATCATCCTTGGTGCTGAGTCTGATAAAGTGCTTCATGCTAATAATCTAAAGCATTCTAATAATCTAAATTTTTTTTTTGGAAAATCAAAGAACGTGAATTTAAATAATTGTAATTTTTAATGCAGTGGATTAAAATGGATTAGTGATTACTTACCTTTGCAACTGTTTGAGAAGCAGGGTTAATTTTTGATCACAGAAAAATGTGTAGCATCTAAGATTTCTCTCCATTATAAAACTAAACTACTAAAATGTTGGAGAAAAGGGGAAAGGTGTTATTTTCTACCTTTTCTTTTCAAGTGTGGAATAACGATAATTATTATCATATGATAAAATAATTTCAACTGTGTAATCATTTCTTATTTTCTCGTGCTTAGCTTGAGTAAAATGACCATGGTCATAATTAAGGTAATGTCCAAGCACTCCTGGCTGATTAACTTCAATCCTGACATAGTTCCATGCAGTTATTTCACATTCATCCCTTTGGCCAAGGAATGGCCAGCAGAGAGACTCAGCCCTGCTGATGCTGACAGCTGTTTGCTGGGCTAAAACTACACGGGCTTCTGCTTCTCATTTTAGCCGGACTATTTGTTGTAAGGGGGCATGTGTGTGTAACAGAATGCCAGAAACATTACATGAAATAGTGGTTTTTTGGCAGAAGACAACCTCTTTTGTTCTCCCTAGCAGGGCAAAGTGACAGAGTCACTTCATGTGCAGCAGCCTGACAGTTTCTGTCAAGCTCAGAGCACATGGCCAGAGGATAAATTCAAGGCAGTGTTACAGCAATGGGGCAGGACAACTGATGCTTTGTTAGTAAGTTCATGCAGGGTTTCTACCTTTTTTCCCTTCATTTAGGAATTCTGGAACCGATTTCAATTTCCAATTTCAAGAGTCTCAGTCAGTGGAGGTTTCCTGAAATCAAATCTGGACAGAATTTTTAAAATGGTGTGGAATTATGAAAAATTAAACCAGTCCAGCTTTTTTGTAGGGCATGTCTCAATCATCCCAATGCAGTGTGAACAGCTACTTACTTTATACCAAAGTACAAAAGACAATTTCTACAATCTAATGGTTAAAATATATAACATAACAGTTGCTATGAATGCACTTAAGATCCATGGCAGTTGCTTCCCATATTTTTCCACTTTAACCATATCTACAACAGAGCAGTTTTAGTTAAAGCAAGAGTCTTCATTCATTTCACATTTCATTTTGCCTTTTCCATATCTGTATAACGATTGGAATGCTCAGCTAATATCATCATGAATTGGGATTACTAAAATAACCTCCTTACTTGGCCTTTTGAATGCTATAAAAATAAATACACTAAAGTAATTTGAAATTCCTTTGGCTATGTTAGTTTACTTAAAGAGTTGCTTCATTGCTACTTTTTACCAGCCTCATTTGGGAAGGCAAATGCTAACCACATGCACTAAATATTGAAATTCTGTCTCTTATATGTAGCATGTTCTATGTTGCTTTAAAAATCTTTAATTTCATAATATAATTTTTAAAACTTCCCTGTTTTAATATTTTATTTAGCTTGAGTGGAAACTAATGTCAATCTAATTACTTTGTTGTAAGCAGAAATGGAGAAGCAGTTTAATTCTGAAAATATTTGGCCCTATTTTTCCTGATATTGTTATTTAGAATAGGATTTAATGTAGTGTGTAGCTGGTGAGTTTACAGATATATGCAGTTAATCAGCAGACTGTGCATTTCAGCTCACTTTTCCTCTGTTGAAAAACTTCCTTTCCAAGTTTTAGCAAGTAACTTTACTAATGAAAGAGTGGTTTGAGTCACCATTTAATGAAGTATTTGAAAATTTAGAATGAGAAATTAATGAGACTTAAACATGTCTTTAAAATTAAATTCATGTATAACTGCATTACAAAGCACTCTAGAGCAGAAGGACTGCGGGAAATTACCTCTTTTAGAGATAATCCATTCTTTCAAACTGACTTGCTCTTACCAGTTTGATTGTGTTCATGGAAATTGATGAATCTGATACTTTATTTGGCCTCATTGACATGGTATGATCAACTGGAATGGTACCAGACTGTGTGTCTAAGTTTTGAGTTCCTGAGGCTGAATTTTCTACTGAAGTCAATTGTCTTGAGATGTTGCCTTGCCAAATGTGTTGGAATAGAGATATAACATTCTCATCATGTACTATACAGCAAAGAATGAAAATCATGCCATAGCTTTCAGAGCTATTTAATGGACAATTACATCATTTCACAGACAATTTGATCTATTAGTAAGTAGTTTCTGCATATATATTTTTCTGTGCAGGTCAACTTCTATGTGAGGGTGAAAGCAATTTATACTCTTGGACACAGCGTATCTCTGATTGCTCTTACAACAGGAAGTATAATTCTTTGCCTTTTCAGGTATGTGTTTTTTCATGAGTAAATACTAACAATGATAAGACATCTTTAGCTGTTGTCTGATTGCTCAGCTATTTAGAAAATGCATAGAGTTTACGCTTTTTGCAGTTAAACAGCTGACAGTAATGTAATGCTGACTAGATTTTTGCTAGCAATGATCATATTAATAATTTTCAAAGTATTTTACAAATTTATAGCCCATGTAAGAAAGAGCAGTAATTTAGGAATGATTACATAAAGAATTTTCTGTTTGGTTATTAAAACTAACACCTTGAATTGCTCTTGAGAATTAGTTGGATGCTGATCTCACCAGTGGACATGAGTGCAGTCACGTTTTGCAGAAACTTCTGAGTGGTTTCCAGGGGTACTGTAATCAAAGGCAATCACTAATTTGTCCAACTGTAAATCACAGAATCACCAAATCACTGAATCACCAAGGTTGAAAGAGACCTTCAGGATCATCTACTCCTGCCATCAACCCAGCACTGCCACAATCACCCCTAAACCGTATCCCCAAGTGCTGCATCCAAACATGTTTTGAACAAGTCCAAAGACAGTTGACTCCACTACCTCCCTGGGCAACTCATTCCAATGCCTGACCATTCTTGCAGTGAAAACTTTTTGTCTAGTACCTAATCTGAACCTCCCCTGATGCAACTAAAGGCCATTACTTCTCATCCTTTCACTTGAATCATGCAGAAGGGACCAGCCCCCACCTGGCTGCACCCTCCTTTCAGGTGGTTGTAGGGAGCAATGAGGTCTCCCCCGAGCCTCCTCTTCTCCAGACAAAACAACCCCAGTTCACTCAGCTGCTCTGCACAAAACATGTTTGCTAGACTCTTCACCAGCTTCGTTGCCTTTGTCTGGCCACTCTCAGCACCACAGAAATGTCCTTTTTGAAATGAAGGGCCCAGAACTGAACATGGCGCTCGAGGTACAAGTGTCGCCGGTTCCAAGCACAGTAGTAAAGGTGTGGATAATTGTGCTGGGTCTGCAGTGTTTTGTTAGGCAGTGTTAGGAAAGGCAGTACTGCCTCCTGCTTTTGCCCAATTTCTGTGACTTTTCTCAGACTGAAAGCAATCTTCAACTAGTAAAATAACTTTTAAACCTTCAACTAGTAAAAAAACTTTTTACTGGTCTTATCAGTATCACAGTTTATCTCAGTCTCTCCACCTTCATGCCTTTATGTATCACTTCTACCTGTCTAACAGAATAGCCTTTATTTTCCCCATTATGAACTTCACACCACTTTTCTGCTCCACTTAGGACCAAGAAAGCCAAGAAAGTGCATATCACAGTTTTGGTAGAAAGGAAGTACAAATAATATGTAGATAACAGCATGTTGTTTGTCAGAGCCTCATTCCTCTCATTAAATATTCCTATGGTGAGATCTGTAAGCCTTTCAGTCTGCCATCAAATTTTCTCAATATCTAAATCTTCAGAAATCATTCAGAGCAGATATGTAACCCATAGTTATGTTTGGAATACCTTTTAAAAAAATGAACTGAGCCAGTCATGGTTATACTCCTTCTACCAGCAAATGCTCCAGGCAGATCCCAATGCAGATCACTGCAGTTTCAAAACTGCTAAAACCACATTTAATACAGAGAATTACAGACGTCTGAATGTCACCCATCACCAGAAGTCAGCTGTAACAAATCAAGCATTTAAGAGGTGTACTCAAAACCTTCAACTTCAGTTTAAGTATCCAACTAGAGGTATGTTTTCCAAGTCTTCCAGCTGAGTAAGGGGAAAACAGGCTTTTTTCATGAGGCAACATGTGTTCTTCTAAGCCCCCCTTGAAGAAGATTCTCTCTCTGTTATTTGCAGGGAGTGTTGGGGCCTCCCAATATAGTGAATTGAATTAGGAATTAATTTCTACCTGCTAACTCCAAAATATTTGTTTGACAGCTTTATATATATCCAACATTTATTATTTGAGCTACTGAATGGGATGAGTAACTAATGATCTACATGAGTTATTCAAGAAAAACAATTTCCTCCTATCTGCAGCTTGCATGTATCTCTGAATTCCATGGGAGCACATGATGCAGTCCAGCATAATAGTGGTATTTCAGCAAAGGATGTGCATGGCCACAGCAATCACTGCATTTTAGACAACTGTTTAAAATTCAGCCTGGTATTATGTCCTTTGCCAAATTCAGGCCTAACATGGCAGATCTGTTCTTTATTTCCTTGCACTCATTGTAACTATTCTTGCTTCAGTAATGTCAGAATTATGTATGTTTGATAAAAATCACAACTGGAAGAATACTTATAAGTTGCCACTGCACACTGCCATTACACCTATTGCATCTTCATTTTTTCCCTGCTCATGCTTGCTAAAATGCCTTGGCTTCTGGTCTGTTTCCAGGTGCAGCTCAAGGTGCTGGTTGTGACCACAAAAACCTCTTAGCGCTTTGGTTTCTAGGGATTTTCTATAAAAAGAATATTTTCAACAGGAAAATCTTGAAGGAGCTGTATTTTAAGGGAAAAGCCCTCAACTTCTAGCTTGCTTCCCCTGAGCACTCATTCAGCTACATGGAATCTTTTGTCTGTCATTTGTTTGTAAGGCTTTCACATGGCTGCCAGACTAAAGAAGTTTTGCATTCATTGGGTAGAAAGGATAGGTGATCAAATGTTCTGAATGCATTTTTAATTGCTCCTGCATACACCATCATCATAGGATCAAAAGTCACTCTGTAGTAAAACACAGCTGAATAAAAGAAAGAAACCAGAAAATAATAGGTGAGAGCACATCTGAAGTATATCCAGGATAATCAAAGTTGTATTTGCAAGAAAAACACTGGAATGAGTGCACACACAGAAGGATACAATAGCCTGTGTTTATTGTCAGCTTATTATGTCAGTTTATTGTCAGTTTATTATGTTATGCTGAAATGTGCGAGAAATACCATTGGGGTCTTTTAATCTGTGATACTGAGCAGAAGTGAGAGATGAAAGAAAACAGCAAGGCAGCCCTGACAAAATGACAGAAAAGGAAAGGGTATGCTCTTACTCAAGGTTCATATTGCTAAGAAATGTCCACAGAGTAATAGTCTTTTCAACAGTTTCTGCATCATAAACTAAAATGCTTATTTTAAATCTTTTTAGGAAACTTCATTGTACTCGGAACTACATCCATCTGAACCTGTTCCTCTCTTTCATTCTAAGAGCAATCTCTGTTTTAGTCAAGGATGATATTCTTTATTCCAGCTCCAACACAGCTCACTGTCCAGAGGATCAAACCTCATGGGTAATAAACCTCATTTGCTACCTGGTGTAACACTGTTTCATCACTGAATTTTGCTCCCTGATCCTTTTAAATATTTAGGAGTACCAAGATTTCGCTGTAGACAATTCTGAAGAGAACATACTGACTGGGAGAATTGGGTGTTCGATGAATCCAGATAAAGAAGGTTATGGAACAAGTAGGAGACCTTAACATTGTTTGCACGTTCATGAAGGACAACTTATCATCAGCCAAGACAAATCATAACCAGATACATCTGGTTAAATAAATAGCCAGCCACTATAAATAAATATGAATAAATACGGCCACTGCATTAATCATCTGGGAGGGTTGAAGACAAACAGGAGTGCCATCAGCTGGGAGTGATTAAAGGCAGCTGCTCTGGAAGTGTTCCAGCAGCTTTATCTGGGGTGCAGGAATTGGACAGGTATCAGTGGAGGGAGGGAATAACTCAGCAAATTAAATATTTGCAGGAGTTGTCTTCATTAACTCCTCAGTACTTCTGGGCTATGAAAGAAGTGTTATCATCTGCACTCTTGGCAAGCTAATATGTTTACTGCATTTTCATGTATGGGGTTTAAAAAAATCTCAAGTCTTGCTGTTAAAAGACTGACCTCTATATGATATGCCCCATTTGCTGCCATGTTGTTTCAGTCAAAAATCCCTTCTAATTTTAATTAATGATAGTTCAGGCTTGTGAGAAAAAAAATGGAATAACATATTTTTTTGTCTTGATAGAGCCATATTGTCCCAAAATGTGAAGTTCTTAGCAGTGAATACCAAGCTGTATATAGGAATTCTTACTCTGGGATATTTCTAATGGAGAAAAACAGGAACTGAGTTAGTAGACTGCAATTAGGCAAAGTAGATAGCAGACAGATTGCCAGGGGTAATCAGAAGTTCTTAGGTCCTTGAAAGACTGTTCAGTGGACTCTCAAAATTCTACTTGGTTTCTGCAGTCTCATTCATTCCCAGTTATTCTTGGCTACAAAGCCCTATACTTTCCTATTTAAATATGTCAGATTTTGTGGACTGCTGGCTAATTTCTGTTGCATTGAATGTGGGATGATCTGGCACCAGCCTGACAAGGCTGGTCTGTCTATCAAGCACTGGTGCTGCCTTTCACACATAACAGCACGTGGGGTTTTCCCCTTCCGTCATGTGTGTGTGATGTTCCACAGTCCTGCTGCACTCACAGAGGTCTAAAACACACAGTTCATAAGCTCTGTAAGTAGGTCCTGGCTCTGGACTACAGGAGAATTAATTTTGGCTAACTTTACTGATAGATACCTTCACTGTTCAGCATGAGCAAATACAGCTCATACAGGATTACATGCAGGAGGAAGGGAAAATACTTTGATGCAGGGTTCTGGTATGTAAATTGAGAATGTAATAGAAGGAAATATTGGAATTGATAAAGGATTACAAAATTTGCACTGCTGATATGATTGTAAGGAATCCTAAGCATAAAAGTAAATTTCAACTTGCATGAAAATTTCAACTTTTCACGCATTTTGAAATGCTTAATTTTATCCATCTTACATTTTCTGGCCCATTGCTGATCTGCAGTGGATATCCCAATCTCCAGAGGTAAGATCAGTTTTACCAAAGTTAGCTAGCTTTCAGACTTTGATTGTAGGCAGCTAAAATCAGATAAAATAAATTCAAGCCTTTGGACTCTTCCTTAGTTTTCTACATAAGCATGTACACAGGCATGGATGTTACTTGGAATGCACTGAGGTGTCTGAGACATCCTGGGGGGCTGATGGCTATGAAGAAGTCTCCCTGAGGAGGTCTGTGCCCTTCTGGCTTAGCAGCTGGTGACTGCATCTCACTTCTTAATAAACATCTAGGTTTAGAGAGAGGAATTAATCACTGAAAATTAGTAAGTTACCTGCTTAGGTATCTGGTGTAGTTGGAATTTTAACAGCAAAATGCAGGTGTAAAGGGTATTTAAAATGGAGAAGTGAGTAAAGCTGGTAGAAACTAGAGATTTTATTTGGTCCAGTTTGTGTAGTCTGTTACATTCACCATATCATCACATTTCTTGGGCACATTCTCAGTCCACATGAACATTTTCATATTCAATTCTCACGTCCCAGATTCCTACAGGGAAGTACCAAAGTAGCAGCAGCCAGCACTAGGGAACATCAGCAGCACAGACATCTGAAAATTAATTCTGAAGACCAGCACACAGACTATAAGTATCATTTTTTGATATATGTCTATGTTTTGTTAACTAAGAAACATTAAAACTTTTTCTAAAGGGAAAACGTTAATTTTAAAAATCCAGACTTAATCTTCTAAGTCTACAAAGTAATCACAAAAAGTTACTTCATAATAATTTAGTTATTTTTCATTCAGTTTCACATTTAGCTTTGAAAAAATCATAAAGTACTTTCTTTGTTAAATTTTACTGTGTTAGGAAGCCATGTGACATTTTAATACATTTATTAGACTCCGAGTAGATGATAATTTAATTTTATAGCAATTCATTAATAAACTGTTGCAAAAGCGTGCATTTATTGATAACTACTATATTTTTCTATATTTATCCTATGAAGTTTTCAAAACTTCTGAGTGAAGTTGCAATGAGAGCCATCTAAATAATTTTTAATAATTCACTTTATCTCAATATATACAGTAACAATTACAATGTTGCAATTTGCTTGACTGAAGATAAACATTTCTACTGGACCTGGCTTATTGATACTACAAAGACAGCTAAGATTTTTGGCTGTAGTAATAAAAGTAATATGGCATCTTTCCTGTGACAAATTTGATCCTTCTTCTCATATTTCAGGTGGGCTGCAAGGCAATTCTGGTGTTTTTTCAGTACGGTGTTATGGCAAACTTTTACTGGCTCTTGGTAGAAGGACTTTACCTCCACATCCTCCTTGTGCTAATATTCTCCCCCAACAGACACTTCACGATCTACCTGCTGATAGGATGGGGTAAGAACTTGCCCATCTCCCAGTAATGTTCTTTTTTCTGTGTGTGTGTGTGTTGGTCAGGTTCAGTGTTTCATACCAAGGTAGTTGAGCTGTCTCTGCTGGTGACTCCTCAGGCTCACAGATTGCTCAGCTCAGCTCCAGCACAGGAGAAAGAGCAGGCACAAAGCTGCTGGAGCAGTTCTTCCCTGCTGACACAGCTTTCATCTGTGCCCAGGGATTGCTCTGGCGCAAAGGCTGCCAAAACATATGATTCAGGTGTCCTAATTTGTGAGGAAAATTAAAATTTAGCTGCACAGCCATGAGCTATATTTTATGCGATTTTCCTTTTTGAAAAGCCCAAACAATACTGTCCATCTGGTTTTAAATATATATATTCCTTTCATTTACAGAAAATGCCATGATATTTATATGGAACACTTTAATACTTCCAGTAATAGGTGGTCATAAAACATTTGGGTGTTGCTGGGAAATGGGAATAAACCAGTGTGTGGACAAGGTTCCTTATGAAATGATTTATACTTCTATTTTATATTGCAGTCCTTGGAGGTGCATTGGGAATGCATAACTTGTATCTATTTCCCTGTAAGTCACTCTGACACCTTGCAAAAAACCAAAGAAAGGCGGGGTTTTTTGTGTATTAGTAATTATGGCTACATTCTATAAGAAATAAACTCACTTCCCTGCAGTCTTTGTTTGTAATACATTACCGATGTATACATGTAATCATGTAGCTCATCAGATGGACCTCTCCTTCCATTCCCTGAACTGTTTACTATATGCTGTGTATTTGGTGAAGAACTGCTTACCAGCAGGCTGAACTTTTTGGTTTTTTTTTCCCTGTGGACTTGCATTTTTGTGATCATTCTCTAAACCTCTGGCATTTTTCAGGAATTCCTACAATATTCATTATTACATGGACAGTGACACGGATCATTCTAGAGGACACTGGGTGAGTGTGTGTGGGAGAGAAAGTTTAAATCCCCCCCATGCCTGTGCAATCCTTGCCTCGGGTATGGTATTGCTCACACGAAGGTGGTTTGCTGCTCTGGAGGGATGAGCACAGAACTGAAATTTCAGAGATGGCAATAAAAGGGCAGGTGTTTGGGAGCTCTTCAGCTGTGGTTTATGCTTGATGTTTATTTGAAAAACTCAGAGAGCAGGAGAGAGCAGGGATAAGTTATGACTCCTGCTACTCCTTGGCACACCCACATCTGGAGCTATCTGCTGGGGAAGTCAAAGTAATGTTGGAAACAGCAGTGGGGTCCTTGGGCTCAGTGCTGCAATGTGTGCAGGAAGGCACTGGCCATTCTAATTTGCTAACTGGCAACTCGCAGGATTGGAGTGTAGATAACTTTGGGTAAATATACATTACATTCCCAAAAGTGAAGTGATGTAAGGGTGTGTCAGATGCACATAGCCAGGTAAAGCTAAAGCTAACTAGAGCTAACCCTGCTCCTGGCATGTGAAGGGGAGCTGAGACAAGAATTTTGTAGGAAAATCAGACTTGATCCTGCTGCTCCCAAGGAATGGGAGAACATTCCTAACTAGTGGACAAATAGTTTGCACAGTCCTGTTTTGTCCAACTAACTATTATGTTTCAATTTATTCTGTAATTAAACTGAAAAATCATGTCCTACATATTTTCAAGTCTTTCTTTGCAAGACGTCTAATGTGTTAACCAAAGGCAAACTCCTTTTCCCTTTTTCATTATGATTACTGAGGAAGTCTGAGGGGTAATTAATCTCTAATCTGACTAACCTTTCAGAGCACTAAGAGTATTTGGATCAAAAGTGCAGAACCCCAGGGTGAAAATTAAATATTCAGTTTTTCAGGCAGAACTTCAGGTTCAGTCTCACATTTTCACAAACAAGTTCCAGGCATCTATAACCTACATGTCCCACAAGAAATTATGTAATTCCAGTTGCACCTGTCAGTTGCTTTAGATGTTCCTGCTACCCAGAGGTCAGCATTAAGTGCACACTGGAGAAATGTCCTCACACAAAGTGAAACTGAGCTTGGTTCCCACAAAGGTTAACATCCTCCATGATGTCTAATGGTACAGCTCAGTGTGCTTGATGTTTTAGCTGCTTTCATAGAGTCACAGAATGGATTGGTTTGGGAGAGACCTTGAAGACCAGTTGGTTCCAGCCCTCCTTGCCATGGGCAGTGATGCCACACTCAGGTTACTCAGAGTCCCATCCAGTCTGGCCTTGAGCACTGCCATGGATAGGACATCCACAGCTTCTCTGAGACCACACCCTGAGACCTGTGTCCAGTTCTGGGCCACTCACTGCAGGAAAGACACTGAGGTACTGGAGTGTGTCCAGAGAAGGGCAACGGAGCTGGTGAAGGCTCTGGAACACAAGTCTGGTGAGGAGCAGCTGAGAAAGCTGGGGATGTTCAGTCTGAAGAAAAGGAGGCTCAGGGGAGACCTCATCACTCCCTACAACTGCCTGAACAGAGGTTGTAGCCAAGTGGGGCTCATTCTCTTCTCCAGGCAACCAGTGACAGGACAAGAGGAAATGGCCTTAGGCTGTGCCAGGGGAGGTTCAGTTTGGACATTGGGAAGAATTTTTTCACTGAAGGGGTTGAAAAGCATTGGAATGGGCTCTCCACAGAGGTGGTGGAGTCAGCTTTCCTGGAGGTGTTCAAGAAATGACTGGATGTGGCACCCAGTGCCATGCTCTAGTGGTCCTTGGTCGAAGGTTGGACTCAATGATCTCAGAGGTCTTTTCCAACCAAAATGATTCTGCAACTTTATGAGTAAAGAATTTCTTCCTGACATCTAAATCTCTCCTCTTTCATTTTTAAACCGTTGTCCCTTGTCCTATCACTACATGCCCTGGCAAAATGTCATTTTCTCTCTTTTTTATAAATCCCCTTTAAATGCTGGAAGGCCACAGTGATTTCTCCATGGAGCCTTGTATTCTCCAGGCTGAACAACCCCAACTCTCAGCCTGTCTTTGCAGGAGAGGTGCTTCAGCCCTCTGATCACCTCTGGACCTGTTCTGACAGGGCCACATCTTTCTTCTGCTGAGGAGTCCTGAACACAGTGAAGACAGTGCTCCTGGTGGGGAAACCAAGTATGCATATTAAAACAAAGGGAATAAAATTAATGGCAGGAAAGGACTGAATGCCAAATTCTGGGCTAGAGCAGGCATTATTTTAGTGTGCTTTGACTTGTTTATAAGAATATTTCTCATACGTCTTGCTTGCCAGATGATATTAATGTCAACATGATTTTCCCTCTTTTTTTTTTTATAGCTGCTGGGATACAAATGAGCATGGTGGTCCCTGGTGGGTTATACGAATACCAATTTTAATTTCTATTATAGTAAGTAAAATTTGAAGCATGAATTATATATCTGTTCAGCATTGTGCAGTGCATGTAGCCATTATTCTTTACTGCTAGTTACAGATAGGCAGGAATTCCATTTTAATGAAAAGAAATTGTGCTGCAGGAGAAATGTTAAACAGATGCCAAGGCCATTAAAATTTGTTGCTTTCAAAATTTATCTGCCTCCTATTAAATTAGCAGTTGCTTTTATTTGTGTGTTGTTCTTTCTTTAACGTCTCTCCTGTTTATGAGCCTGGAGAAAGGAAAAATCTAATTATACTTCTCAATGAATTGCAGATTTGATTTTGTGTGTAAATAGATAGCCTTGCAATCGAGAATGTGATATTAGTAAAAAAAAAATACGGCTGTGTATATCTTTCTTTAATTGGTAGCCTACTCAAATGTATATTAAACATGAAGTATTTGCAAAATAATACCACTGGAGAATGTTTCACAGGGCTTTTCTTGTTTGGAACTCATTAGAATTAGTGGATTAGTGTAATATTCCTGTTGATTGTAATGATTGTGTAATTAACTTTGGGCATAATGTACTATAGTTATATGTTCATTTCTGAAAATAGAGAGCAAATGAATATATTTTAGATATACTTGCTTCAGTTTTAAAATTATAGGCAGAAGATCAAGGGCATCATTAGATTACACAAGATTTCAGGAGTTTGCATTAAGCTCGGCCTTGCCTTTCAATCTGTGGCTGCTGAAAATAATTTTGGAAGAAATTCCTGTCATCAATATCAAAGTGAATTCTGCAGTTTGAAGAGAAAGAAGAGTAGGCCATATGTGTGAAATGACATAAAATAAGGCCTCAGAGATGTTTTATCTTCTGAAGAAATGAGCATGCAAGAGAACTACAGCAGGAAGGGAATACTTGGACCTCAAAGGAGCTGGAGAATGGGGAACAATCCAGAGTTAAGAAAATATGTTGGAAGATAAAAGCAAAACAAACCACCTGGTGTTTACAGGAAACCCTGTTCTCTTGGAAGCTCAGTTTGAGCAGCTATTTGAGACTGCATGTGCCAGAAGGCAAGGCTCCTCCAAAGCAGCCCTAGACCTGGAAGTTATCCCAGGGCACATTGGCAGACCTGAACTGCAGCTGGATCTTAGTGAAGACTGGGAAGAGAAATCAGATGGAGTACTGGTCAGGCAGCAAAGTTTGATCTATGCCACAATATTGTGAGAGCAAGTTCTGATACCATTTTGCACAGTAGGAATGGCTTCAGTCAATTCAGTGTGTCAGAGCCCTCCCTGGCATTTCCTCCTGAGAATTTTGGCTTGAGAGAAGTCATTTGGCAGACATTCACACTTCATGCTGTACACACTTCAGTTGGAGGTGGCTGTTCCAAATGAATGTGCTGTTGCCCCTGTTTTCTCCTTGTCCACTAATACTGGTTCCAGTGCATATGGCAAGTTAATATCCCCTGCTGTGGGCACTCAGCTGTATTAAGTCTGCAGATAAAATCTGCAATTACAGACTTTTGTCTGTTACCTTTATAGGTAAGCCTCTAAGTAATCATCTGTCTGAAAAAAAAAAAGTATGTTAAGTTCAGCAAAAGCCTGTATTTTCTAACATTTCTTTTTTATTCTTTCTAAACAATATATTACATATCATTTTCCTAAATTTTTATTTCATTCCTATAATTTCCTTTCACTACCCTTCACCTGTCATTTTGAACAAAGTGTTAAAAACAGAGGGACGTGCAGTTGCTATGACTGTGTTTTATTTATTAGTATCCCAAATTCTATAGGCTGTGTTATATGAAGACATAGAAATCCATTGAACTTGAAAAGCGTGGAGCCAAATTTTTAAGAGAAAGAAGGGTTCCACCAATACATGAAGACAGAAATTTTTAGCAGTGAGACAGGCACTGTCTGGTTAAGTACTCCAACTCCCGATTTTGTGCTTTGGGATGGAGTTAGTTTAAAACTACAAAGTTCTCATTTTCACCATTATATAAATTTTTCTCTGGATTAATTTCTTCTAAGATGTGTGCATTTGATGCAGCTGTTTATGTAACTGGAGTCACAGTTTTTAGCACACATTGCAGCTCTGAAGGTGTGGATTCCAACTGTTCGCTTACTTCAGCATGGACATGCTGTATTTAGTGTGCAGTTTTCTAGACCACACCAATGAATCCAACACCAGAAGACATGGGGACCAGAGGAAGCTGAAAGTCAAGACTGAAGAAATAATGGGAGTGACACTTAGGACATACTGAGTTTTATACTTCAATTTTCTAGGCTGATTAGGTTCTGATCATAATGATTTTTATGCAGATGTCTTTCTGAAAAATAAAATACGAAATAAAATACAAAATGAAATGCTACTCTTCTGTCTTAGAGGGCTGTCATGAGAATTAGGCTGCAGATGGACTGGATGATCTCCAGAGGTCCGTTCCAACACCAGCTGGTCTGTGATTCCTTCATTCGTAATGTCAGCATAAATATCTAAGACAATATCTAAGACCTGTGAGAGGCCCTTTTTGTGTTTGGTTGGAGTAGACAGATCAGCTGTGCAACAATCTCCTCTAACCCTAATTCAGACAGAAAATACTGAAAGTTGAGGTGAGGAGCGAGGGAGGGTCAAAACTGCCTCTGGGCTTCCGCTTGTGAATCCACGTGACAATTTAGGACAGTGCTCGATTGCAGAAAACCACATCCAGTGTCCCAGCCTGGGAAACCTGTCCTCCGCTGAAGTAGTGGAAGGAGGACACTTCTGAAAACTGGGGCTTTCAAAGACTTCTGCCAGCCAGAACAGCAGTGTGGGCTTGCGGTGTTGCTGGACATGGCAAAAGTGGTGCTACAGAACCCGAGAGGTTTGGCACTGCAGAGCTGAGGGGTTCTGGAGGGAGGTGCACAGCTCCCATGCTGACTTGGCTCCTGTCTGACTCAATAAGAATTTCTTTTTGCTAAATATTGAGTGGAGGATTCAGAAATCATCATTATATTTGTTTTCTTTGCAGGTGAATTTTATACTTTTCATTAGCATTATAAGAATCTTACTGCAGAAGTTAAGATCTCCAGATGTTGGAGGAAATGACCAGTCACAATACAAGTGAGTCATTCTTTTAGATATTATAGACAGAAGCAAAATAATCTCTTTAAGATTTCATCTGCTGAGAACCAACAACTGCTGCCTTACTATAATTAGATTTAATTTAGAACTACTTATTGACAAAACATGCTATGCAGAAATAAAGAATGTCCTTAAAGCCAAGAGAAGCAGGACCTTAGGTGTTATGTAGACAATATGACATGTTTGATGCAAAAAGTGAAAAATTCTGATGTGCCACAGAAAATCAACACAACTGGACTGACAAGCACATTTGTTTTGTGTTTGTGATTCAATTATCTAAACATGTGGGAGAGCTTGTTGAATCTAGATGAAACTGTGCAGTTGCTACATTATTATGTAGCACAATGGCCAACCTATGGGCAGGAAATCCCCTCAAGTTTACTTCTTGTGACATAAAGTTTTCATTGCTTGCATGTGATATTTATTTAATTTTTGAAAATTATGTATTCCCTTACTTTCATTCCCACCATTTTGCACAGTTTACTGTAGGACTTTATAATATGAAATATTCACATTAATAGCAACCTTGTCCTTCATTATTCAGCCCTGTAAATTCTTTGCTTTTAGCATTTGATTGCCTGATTAAGTTTGCATTTCTGGTCTTTAGCCGATACCCATGGGAAAGTAGATTAACCTCCTCAAGAAACTGCATCTGCAGAGCAAATGAAAAGATCTGGGAGGCTCATTTATAAAATTGCAAATGCATTTTCTAAAATGAAGAGAAGAATAAGACTGTTTTGTTTGTCCCTTTCTTTTACTAAAATGTAAGTGCAGTATAGAGAAAGCAGCATCAACTGAACAAAACTTACTAAGCCAAGCATGGAGTGAAAGTGAAATATGAATCTAAAATCAATACTGCTCATGCAAGTCACCATTTTTATTCCCTTCCTCTGAACCTGCTTGTAGCTGGTTCCATCCTTTTAGTTGTTTGTTTTACTCTTTCAGTGAACAAGGCTAAGTTCAAATAAAATCAGTTTTCCATTTCATTTGGGGAACCAGGAAATTTGCTGCCAGTGTCATCTCCTCCAGTTGTAAATAATTTCTTCTGCTAAGGAATCCCTATTTTTCCTGCTTCTGGTAACACCTTTAGATGTGAAGGATTTGCTGTTCTTGAGGAGCTTTGCTGTCAGAAATTATTTCCACATAAATAGATGCGGCCCCTGGGCCATTATGAACAAAGAAAGGCCATGAAAACTGACACAGAAAAAATAAAACTACTTGAAATACCTTTTCTGTTAAAATAAGTGAATTCACAACAGCATCCTTTCATTGTTGAATCAAGTTATATTCATCAATACAGTGACGAATTATGGAACTCAACATTATAACTTCTCAAATTTTATCTGATGCCAGATATCCAAAATTGTCCATGACTGGCCCTGTATAATATATAAAACTGATGTTATTAGAGTGAAATAAATGACAGATAAGGTAAAACTAGCAATTTTTCATTCCAGTAGTTTCACAGGCTGTTTGTCAGAGCAGCTCTGCTTAGTAATTTAAAGTTGTTTCCTTAACTTCAGTAAGTAGTGTCTTCTGCTAAATTTTGTTATGTAATTGACAACATTGAAAATTATTTAATGGCATATGCTTAATACCATCAGTAAAGCTATGAAGTTTTAGTATTTGAGGCTCATGAAAATCCATTAGTTGAGATGATTCTGGATTGCATTTCCTAGGTACTGTTTGCATACTGTGCATGTGCAATGCACAGAATAACCCTGCAGTTACACATTCATCTCAGTAAAACAAGAGCTCATCATTAAATTGCAGCTTTGTCTCTTTCCTTTACCCAGGAGACTTGCAAAATCCACCTTGCTGCTGATTCCTTTATTTGGAGTTCACTACACAGTGTTTGCTCTGTTTCCTGACCGCAGTTCCAACAATTATAAAATAATCTTTGAGTTGTGTTTGGGATCTTTTCAGGTAAATTTTAAGGTTTTTATTCAAAATTTATTATTTTACTGACCTAGGTGAGTGCTGCCTACTAACTAAGGAATATTGTCTCTTTCCAGGGGTTGATTGTTGCAGTCCTGTATTGTTTTTTGAACAGTGAAGTAAGTCTCATCTTTCCTACTGAGAATGTTAAATATTGATTTTAGTAAATGTATAAGTGCCCCCATAATTCTGCTCTGATACACGAAACTGTTTTAGAAGATGTCTGCATTCTTATTAGTGGAATATATTTGTGGCAGTTTTTATACAACAGGAGAAATCAGTGTAGCTGGGTGAAGAGCTTTAAGAGCTGTTTAAAATCGAATTCCTTGCAAACTGAGGTCTTAGTGTCTTCTGCTATTTAACATGATCTAATCTAGCTCGGACAGAAGCAATGTGCAAGTGAGGTGCAACACATCTGAAAATTCATCTGGAACTTGAAATACCATTTAGTAAGTATTTAGGGGTAATGCTTTGTCAGTATCTAAACCTCAGAAAAGCACAGATTTTCAGAAGTGCTCAGCATGTCATAGTTTTCATAGTCTCAACTGAGAAAGATGCAAGAAATTCCTTTTGATTTCAGCCACTATGCAGTGTCTGACAGAAGGAATCTGTCTGAAGGCACCTGCACAGACAATTAACATTCAGCTCTCCTGAGTGCTGTTCTGGTCTTTGATATTCATGAGATGCCTGATTTTGGGTTAATTGTTTGATTCTATGCCTTAAGTACATGAGATAAATAGCTCAATACCAAAACCTACTGTTGCAGCACAAGTGATACAAAATTGATTTTTGAAAGTGAACTTAGGGCACTTCTTCACACACAGTGTAGGCAGTCTTTGCCTCAGTTATGTGACCTTTGTAAAATTATATTCTAGAGGGAAGGGATGCCATCCAGAGGGACCACTGCAGGCTTGTGGAGAGGGGGGAAAGAACCTCAAGAGGTTCAACAGAGCCAAGTTCAAGGCTCTGGACCAGGGTCTGTGCAGGGCTGACTGAGGAATGAAGGGGTTGAGAGCCAACAGAGAAGGACTTGAGGATGAAGAATGGGCCATGAGCTGGCAGTGTGCACTTGTAGCCCAAAAAGCCACCTCTATTCAGCATTAAAAGAAGCATGGCCAGCAAGTCATGAGAGGTGAATTGTCACCAGTACAAGAAAGACATGGATGTGTTAGAGCAGGTCCAGAGGAGGCCACAGAAATTATCAGAAGGCTGGAACACCTCTCCTATGAAAACAGGCTGAGGGAGTAGGGTTGCTCAGCCTGGAAAAGAGAAGGATCTGGGGGAACTTCATAGCACCTTGGAGTACATAAAGGGGGGATTATAAGAAAGATGGCAAAAAACTTCTTATCAAGGCCTGTAGTGTCAGGACACTTCTAAACTGATATGTGGTAGATCTAGGAAGGAAAAAATCTTTTCTGTAAGGGTGGTGGAGACACTGTAACAGGTTGCCCAGAGAAGCTGTGGTTGCCCCATCCCAAGGCCAGACTGGGTGATGCTCTGAGCAACCTTGTCTGGTGGAAGGTGTTCCTGCCCATGGAAGGGGGTAGAACTACATAATCCTTAAAAGTTTGTACCAATCCAAACCATTCCATGATTCTGTTCCTAGAGATCCCTATGTGACAGCCAACAGACGTGGAAAATTTCCTCACATAAAAGAAAATTTTCAGTTCATATTGTTCATTTCCTTTTGAACACAGGTGCAGGGGGAGCTGAAAAGAAAGTGGCGGAGTTTGTGCTGGAAGCAGACAGCAGGCAGAGACTACAGACTCCACAGCTCATCCATTTCCCGAAACGGATCAGAAAGTGTTTCCCAGCTCCACAGGAATTCAAGAGCTCACTCCTTTATGCAGACAGAGACCACCATGATATAAATGAGCTAGGTCCCCCCAAAACATGAAAAACTGTGGGATATATCATTCATTATGCAGCTTGATGTGATATTTTATAACATGTACAGTTTAGTGCTTTGCTTTTCTACATGTTGGTACTTGGGGAATTGGTTTGTGCAGCCAAGCTATTATTAATGGAGAAGCCTGCCCCATGGATGCTTTCTGTTTTGTTCAAATTGTATTCATATTAATTCTGGTGTTCTCTTGCAGTTTACTAGCTATAACAATTCAAAAATTCATTTTCCATAAAGGTCCCTTTACCTTCCAAAATGGCTATAAGATCCATGCAGGGTATCCTACTCAATGCAGATTTCTTTGGCACATGTAAAGGGTTAAGATGGGAAGAAAATTTCTTACACTTTATTTATACTTAAGGAAACATTGCCTTAAGGATTAGGAAATTCTTTTCTAATTATGGAAAATAAAAAATAAGACAAAACCAAGACCATAATTAACCACACTGGGAGTTCAGTGTGCTAATCCAGGAAATCATTAACATGATTTACAAGAGAGGGAAAAAGGTAGTACTTCTAGGCTAATGGTACACATTTCAGAGATTACTTTCTACAGAGTTTGATTCCAATCCTATTGTTACTTTCAAAAGTGCCTGGTTTGATGTTTGGGTGCAGAGTGTAGGGCTATTTTACAGGCCATACAGAAAAAACTGACATATTACTTCTGAATATAGTAGTTCTCAGTTGTTCTCTTCTGTTTCAAGTCAGAGATTTGTGTTGATCTTTCATGAAGGAGTTTTCTGAAGAGGTATGTTCTATTGCTAAAGCAGCCTGGCAAAGGATGAAAAACAGCCTTGGATAGCTCATTACACATGGAAAATACCATTTTTTACAGTATTATCATTGAACTCTGTCTCTAGCAACTACATATTTGACTGCAAAACACAAGGAATATTGCAGTGAAGTTGCAACTCAGATTTAACAAAAAATTTAAAAGGTTTAGGTTTATTCAGTTCTGTATCTATCTGTTTAAAATTTAGTCCTGACTGTGGCTCCAGGAAAAAAAAAAAATTAGAATCCCTAAAAATTACCATAAAAGGCATAAAGAAGGAATTTTCAATAATGTCAAGCCTCTTATGTAGCCTTGTTTAAAAAAAAAAAAAAAAGGCAGAGAACTGACAGTCTTATAAAAATATACATAACATTTCCTCTCTTTAAAAGAAATAAACCCAGTCATGTTCTTTTCCCATGTCAATGTTTAACCATGTCCACCCTACATTACAAGTGGAAGTAATATGTATTTGCATGAGTACCTCCACACCAACCATTGCCCTCATATTTCAGATAACAGATTTTATGGAGCCAGCAGAATCCAAGGTCCCTACTCTTGTCAGATAAAGGGAAGAGCAGCAGCAAGGGCATCCCTTGGCAGGCATATTTGTACATCCTTGAAAATATTACCAGTACTGGGAATATTGTCAGCAGCTGTCTAAGTGTGTTACAACTCTTGGTGTGATTTAATCCAGCTATTTATCAGTCAAACACAATTTGTTTTAATGGGATTGTCATGGAGTAACACAAAGTTTTGTCAGACCAAAGATAGAAAGAACCCATGGTTCACATGACTGCTGCAGAACCTCGTGAATATTACATGACACCAGCAGGTATCATTTGAGTTAAACAATAATCATTCAAAGAATTGTTACTTACAAAAATTGAATTTAAAGGAGCTATTGATCACTTTCAGATTATTCATAGTGTTTTCTGTTTGGCAAAGTAACTGTGAGATTCTGGGTGGAAGTTGGGGGCCCAAGAACATTCCCATGGGGTCTGAAGATGTGCCCCTACACATGAATTTAAACTCAATATATTCCCAAAGACTTTAGACTGAGGAAACTGCTAAAATTTAGTATGTTTCCTGGATCTCTTGAGAAACTTGTCACAAGCTCTTAACTACAAATATGTGAAGACCCACTGGAGCTTTGGGAGATGCTTTTACACCTAAATTAAACACATCTGTGCACATTAGGATTCTTTGTCTGCAGTGGCACTGGGACTGCTCAGTTCCCTGAGATGAGACGTGCAGGATGTTCTTTTTTCCCCTTAATTTCTGGTGTAGAAAGGCACACGTGACAAGCATTCAAGTGTGCTCATCTTTGTGCTCAAATGAGGTTATGTGAGCGAGTTGACACACAGACAGAATGATAGCACAGAAATAGATGTTTCAGGCAATCATTTCCATCAGTCTGTTCTGCATGATGCATCACCAATTATATGTGTTTATAACACATTGTATCTTAGAGAAAACTGTCTTTGTTCTAATTAGGTGAGCATGAAAAAAAATCTGCATTTTAATTATTTCTGGGTTATAAAAAAGAAAAGCCTTAATAAGAAAATACATTTTATACTGCAACAAACCAGCATTGTTTCCTTTAAAAGGGTGCAGATGTCTTTGGGCTTGATTCTATTTTTCATGTAGGGTGAAATGCCACATGAGAATTTCACAGTGGGACAACACAGAGGTTTCACTAAGTTTGTAAAGGACCATGTGGACATGCAAAGAATGGCACACAGGAGAGAGAGGTGCTGTATATATTTTTCTTTCAAACCAGTATAAAGTACAGTACTTTGGAGAACCTCATTCCTTTATTAATAATATAAACGCAGAAAATCTAAATACTGTTTTGTGAGACAGTTTAACTTCATAATACTTTGTTCAGGCATTATCATGGCAGTAAAGACACAGAGGGCACTGCACTCACTTGTTTTTACTCCCAGAAAATTTCTTATTTCCAAATAATTTTATGCAAAGTTACAGCAGTAACCCTATCATCACCAGTTTGGCAGCTGCCTTTTCATAGACAGATATAAAAATATCAGTAAAAGGTGCAGAACAGTTTGACAAATCTAGAACTTGACTAGTGTTTTTCATCTTTACAACACCCATAACAAGACAGCTTCTCATGGCTTTGTCTCTCATTGCATTTTGCTGAGGAGTATGGGGTTAAATGCTCTTGCTCTGTGCTGTGGTGACTCTAAAGAGTCAAAAGAACAATGCAATCATTTGGCCTTCTTCATCCCTAATCCTAGTTCTCATTCAGTCCTAGCAGCATCAGGGGAGGAAGCAGAGGCTGCAAGACAAGTGTAACCTTCCCCTGCACCTCCTTTTCTTTATGCCTTTACTGCATACTTGATGCCTTTACTTTACTGCAACCTTTGGTTGCATCAAGGTCCAAACTGAGTTGTAAAGTCTTCAAGGCAGGAAACCTGGGATTTTTTGTCCATCCCCACTGAAAAGCCAGAAGCACAGCTTGTACTTACTGAACAAGAATGGTAATACAATTCACCCCCAGAACCATGGTTAATTGTTATCCTTTAGCTCCCCTGGAGGCACCATTAATTCGGAGTGACTTCTGTCAGCATTACCTGCTGCTAATGCCTGGGGAACACAGTGACAGCTTGCTCTCCACTTACTAACCACAATTAAAAAGATATATATGGACACTGACTTAAATTTTCCTCTGCAGAGTCAATTTCAGCTGGGCGCTTGATAAACTCAGGTGAAATTCTTCTGCCCAGGTTTTAGTGTCTAAAAGCTGCATGTTTGTCTCTGAGTTGAAGACACTTTTAAAGTGCCCTCCACAGTCATCATAGAGAAATAGGCACTAGTTGAAGATGATTCCTTCCATGTTCAGCTGGGCATCTGAGGCAGGTAAGCTGGACCTAGTTTTCTCTGCACTTACTATAATGTATGCCTGGGTTAGCTAGCTAGTACTTACATTTCTCACTCCAGAGATAGAATCAGGTAAGATGTATCCCTCCAGAAGAGATCATTAAACTGTCTGGGTAATACTAGCAGATATTCCTTTTTAAGCCAATTACCTTGGGTTGGCCAAAGTTACCCTCCAAGAAACATGCAGTGTAATTCAAAAGGTCAGGCAGGGGAGGATCCCACAGTTCATTGGGTCGGGTGTCCCTGCCTGCCATGATAAAGCCCACAGGCTTATGTCCCATTTTGATTTGCCTGGCCTCAGCTTCCAACAAATGTTTGTTGTTTTGGGTAAGGTTTTTGGCTTTTGCCTTCTGTAGGAGGGCCATATGCTAAAAGAAAGTGCTTTACAGTACCCAAAATTTTCTTTATGTTGTACTGCAGGTAGCCAGCTGAAGAATACCCAATCTAAGCTTGTGATGGAGTGCACTGTGACAGCAATAGGTAATTGGTGGCAAATAGCATTACAAAAAAACCTTCTACAGTCAAGTTGGAGCCATCCTACCCCACTCTGTAGCATCTGCTTCATGTCCTGATTCACCCCAGGCTTCCCTTGGCTTTTAACATGCCAGAGGGGAAAGCAACAAGCACAGACCCTCAGCAAACCAGAGACTCTGTCTGGGGCAGATTGATGAAAAAAGGCATTGCCAGGTGCATGTGTCACACAGTCCATGTATAAAGACTAAGATGAATCATCTGCATCATTTGTCCTCTATTTTTCTAGAAATCACCTTCTGTTAACTGTGAATTTGCCCAGTTCAGCAAAATGATTTGGGATAAAGTCCAAATTCAGTCTATTCAGATTTTTTCAAACATCCTTAAGGAAAAATCAAGCCCTAAATATGTCTGACAAAAAGAAAGAACTGGCAAGTAACCTGCAGACTCTGTGTCTGCTGCTGTGTGTAAGGGTCATCATCTGAACAATTACTGTCTGTGCATCGTGATACAGGAAATACCTTTACCAACAGAAGTACCTTCATGTTACCATGAGTGCCTATATCAGCTGTGGGCTGTCAGTACTACCCTGACATGACCAAATACAGAAGTTAGGATGCAGTGCTATTCTGTTGCTGAAAAAATAATAAAATTTAAAATCTATGTTACAAGAGTACATCAGGATTACACTTAAAAGGAGCATTCTGTGATATGGGTTAACCACTCTGTTGAATCTGGTTCTGCCCAATGATAGCAGCTTGTAGTTAAATCTAATTCAGGAACATTTCTGTTGTCAGATTTAAAAAGTGACTGAAATGTCCCAAACCCCTCTATTTCCCAAAACACTGTAATAAGTTTATGATTACCTGCAGCTTTTTTTTTGTCCTGGCACAAAATATGTATGTATGAGTTACTTCAAATTACTTCAAATTTCTCTTTTGTCATCTTTGTTATAACTTTATATCTGTCAAGTATGGTAAAAATTTAAGATTATGTAAATGAATGTGATTATTTTTTACAAAATGTACAGATTATGATGTTGTATAGATTAATGTGTGTAAATAGATTTCATACTGTAATTCACTATAGTTTTCTTCTGGTTTTGCTCTTTTATTCTTTTCTGGTTTCAGTTTTTAATGTCACAAACCTAACAGCCTTCTCTGAGATGTTATATATAAAGCTGTGAACAAATAAATGTTTACATCTTTATGCTATTACAGATAATAGTAGTCAATAACACCATAATGGACTGAAGAGGAATCAGAGAATAAAAATTTTAAAAGTTTTGCACAAAAAAATCCATTATTTATGTTTTTTAAAAATTGTGTACAATGATGCAGTTTTCTTACTGACTCAGTGTGTCATGGCCATGATGAAGGATGTGGCTAAGTAAATATTTCACTTTTTAATTCAGGAGCTGTTAGACACACATGTTGAAGAAAAACAACCCCTAGCTTTACTGAGGAATCTGTAGCTTTTTGTAACCTAGTTGTGCTTACAGGGGCATGAGAATGGCACACAGCTAGAGCAGAGCCAAGTGATCCCATATTTTGTGTATGGCACCATCTCCATGGCCAGCAGCTATTTTTGATTTATCAAAACTTGATTGCCCAGTTCTCTGTCAGAAGTACAGGTGTCTGTCTGGAGTACAGTATAATGCAGTGAGAGCAAAGGAAAGCTGTGAAGCCTCTCCTGTAGAGGCAACACCATCTATCATGGGTTTTTTTCCCTAAAAGCTGTGTACCTGTTTCTATAGCTGTAATGGGAATGGGCACAGGAAGACACTGGCAGTGGTGTGTTGCTGATGGGGCCAGGGAGAGAGGGGAGTACATGTGGGGGAGGAGGTGGCAGCTCATGGGGCAATCCCTGCCCTGGCAGTGACACCAAGCAGGGACAGAGGACAGAGCCTTTTTTGGTGTCTCTCACGGACCAGAGAGTCCTTCCCCTCCTGTGTGTGTCTGTGAATCACAGAAGCCACACCACACAGAGGGCTCTTCTGAGCCTTTAGACAACCTGAGCTCTCATCCTCTCCCACCTTATGTGAGTTCTCATAGGAGCTGCATCAGTCTGGACCCTTTGGCATCAACAGCACATCTGCAAAGCACTTCAGTGTCCTTGCCCACATGCATGCCCTCTGTCCCTCAGAGCTGCAGGGGCAGCCCCACAGCCACATCACCCTGATGTCTGCACGAGCTGCTTTGGAGCTGCTGAGCCTGAGCATGCAGGACAGCCAGGGTGCAGATGAACAGGGACACTGGACCAGGTCCCATCAGTTTTGGCAACAGCACCCGCAGGTTTCCATGGCAAGTAACCTGAGTCCTCTCAAATGTAGAAGTGGATCCCTTACAAAAGTTCTGGATAATTAGAGGAATGGTTATCCCAAAATACAAGCAGTGTACTGTGGAGGGTAAGAATAAGGGAGTCTGCACTTCAGAAGCAGCTTAAAGAAGGAAGCACTTCACTGACAGCTCCTGCATGGTCCCACTGGGCAGCATCAGCTGCAGGGGTCTCTCAGCTCTGTACTTGTAGCCATTGGCCCAGAGGCAGCTGTGAGTACAGCACAAACTGCACGTGAACACACAGCCCCCCTTTCCTCTGATTGCACCAAGGAGTTTCTAACTGGGAGACCTGAAAAGGCAAAGGAGATCAGTGGATGGAAGAGTCAGAAAGAGCATCTGTCTTCATCTCTGTAAGGGAGCTGAACCAAAGAACTATGGCAGCCAGTTAGAGAAAAGGTATTGCACCCTGTGTGTGTGCGTGTGTGTGTGTGTGTGCTCCAGTTTGGTGTGGGTTGTAGAATGAGGTTACTTTTAGAGAACACCTTGTTTTCCCCGGCAGTGCATAAGCCAAATCCCATTTATCTCCCAGTTCCAGTGCAATTCCCATCACTGTTCCCAGTGCTGCTTGTACCAAGGCAGAGGTCAGCCCGTAGGTGGCAGTGACAATGTAAAAGGGGGGGACACAGAGCATGAGGAGGAGCAGGGCACTCAGGAGAGCCCATGCTCAGGAAAAGCAGCATCTCCCCCACACCCTGCAGCCTGCTGTGCAAAGGCCAAGTCTGAGTGTGCCACCTGCAACACTGCCCTGTCTGTGGAGTTTGGGGGTGACTTTTTTAAAGCAGTCACTCTGGCCAGGTACAGGTCATTCCAGTTTGCAAATAGGTTCCCTGCACAATGTTTAAAAAGTCCTAAATAAACATACCATATGTG